CCCGTGGTTCAAGTTCTGGATCTGGCGGCTTGCTTTCTCACTTTCTCTCTCTCTCTCTCTCATTCCATCCCTCTCTGGTCAAATTGAAAGAAACAAATGAATAAATAAATTTAAATAAAATAAAATATAAATAAATTAAATAAATAAATAAATAAAAGTGACACAATCCATTTGATCACCCAGTTTATTCTCAGCATGTAGCAGACTCCAAATTACTTACAGCTACTTACTGCCTCTCTATCCTATATTTAAAAAATAAAATAAAACTCAGTTTTACCTTTATTTCTATAATAATTTTATAATGGACTAGCCAATCTATTCTTGAAACTCCATCTTTGCTTAAAAAAAAAAAAAATTAGAAAATTCCTAATTGCGCTGGCCTTCTGGCCTAGTGCTCAAGGGAGCTAGAGCTCACCTTGATCTGCAAAGTTTGAATTTCAGCCCTGGTGGCTTACAAAACACACTGGGCACATGTGCATGCATGCCTCAAATCCTAACATGATGGAGAAAGGGAGGAGGAAGAATTGTGGTGTGACCACACCCCAAGAGAGAGTGCTTTCCCCCTTTTCCTCTCTGTCTCTCTGTGGTGAGCACATGTCCCTCTGGGAAAGAAAGAAAAAGAAAACGCATAATCAACAATATTAGAAAATCAAATGCAGATGGTATAAAAATCATTCATCATAATTTGGTGTAGAAAAGTTTTTTCCCAGCAAAATAACTTACTGGATGCATATATTTTCTCAAAATATTTGATCACTGGCTGTAAGTAGTCAAGGAATTGTCTTTATTAAAACCAAAGGGTCAGAAGACATCCTTTCCAAGAATATTTCCAATTAACTTCCTGAATTTAACTGAGAGTTTTCAAAATATTGACATAATACAAGAAAATAATTCTTTAATAAAAGGCTTAAAAGACTAGAGTACAGAAAAGTTGGGCACGTTAGATAGGTTTAGAAGCCTTGGTAACACCATTTAGGGATTTATGGACAAAAAGAAGTCCTCTGGGAGTAGCTAGAATGTGAAGGTTAAAGGAGAATTAGCGAGAGCAAGCATCTTCTTCTCTAGTCTACATCAATTCAAAATGGCATTCCATTTCTTTCACTTATGCTTTTCTCAGGGACTGAAACAAATACAGAATATATAAGAACAGATAAACAAGTCTAATCAACTGGTAACTGTTCCTGTTAAAAGGCTGGTTATTGGGAACCAGCAGTTAACGTAATGGCTATGTCGCCGGACTCCCATGTAGTCGACCATGGTTCGCATCCTGGACCTGGTGGCTTAAAACTCATGCTGGGCACGTGTGCGTGCATGCCCAAGATCCCAAGAGGAGAATGGAGGAGAAGGACTGCGGTGTGACCATCCCCCCGGGGGATGATTTCTCGTTTTCTATCTCTCTGTCTCTGTCAGGCGAGCGCACACGCCCTATAGCAAAAACCTCTCAAAAAAAAAGGCTGGCTATTATATAAGTATTCTCTGGGGGGAAAAAGGAAGTGGACAGAAAGAAGTCTAGGAGATCTGTGTTACTGTTCTCTTTTTAGCATTAATTTCACTTTCTTCCATTCTGTCTACCTCTCAGGCCTTATCTATATTTTAGATAAAAGCTCTCTGTTGGTTTCTCTCACATCTCTGACTCTTTATCTTATTGCTTACTCTTGCTTTGTTTGACATGTATAATAAAAGAACTATCATATATGCATCAGACCCTAGAGATTTCAGGTTAAATCCTTGAAATGTCATAAAAGTATGAAAGTGGTAAAGAGAGTGTATAAGGAGTGATTTTTTTTTTTTTGAGAGGTTTTTGCTACAGGGCATGTGCACTCGCCAGAAAGACAGAGACAGACAGAGAGATAGAAAGTGAGAAATCACCCCCTGGGGGGATGGCCATGCCACAATCCCTTCTCCTCCATTCTCCTCTCAGGATCTTGGGGACACATGCACACGCACCCGGTGTGCATTTAAGCCACCAGGTCCGGGACTCATACCGCAGTCAACTACATGGGAGGCGGAAGCCAACTACATGGGAGTCAAGTACCTTAGCCATTACGCCAACTGCTGGTCCCAAGGAGTTATTTTTTAAATGGACTAAATGGCTGGAAATCTATCTTTTTAGTGGATAGAAACCCAAAGAATATTCAGAAAACCAAAGTAGTATCTTTTAGGCCTGGTACATGTTTTTGGTTGACAAGTATCCAGAGGTGGTGGCAATGGAACTGACTGATAATTGGGAAAGCTGGTCTAACCCAAAGTGAAGTACATTCCTCATATAAAATTAGTCAGAGATATCAGTAACTGCTCATGTCCACATGTATTATAATTATCCAATCCAATTTTGGTCTTGGGTCTACCATAAAACATATTTACTGATTCCCCAAAGCTGTTATTACTACTAGTAATAGTCTAACATTCATTAAGTGGTAACTGTGCACTAACACTGCTTAGACTCCCTGCTTATACTGAAGGGTAAAGAAGGCTCAGTCATGTGGCACATGCGCTGCTAAAGCACTGTGCTCTACAGGTTTCGGTGATATGAGAGGCCCATATTTGATTCCTGGTTCAATCTAAAGGCCAACCGAGACTGTAATCCTAGCAACTCTGGTACTAAGACAGGAAGATCTAGAGATCAAAGCTGGCCTATGGGACCAGCAGTTAGCATAATGGCTATGTCACTGGACTACCATGTAGTCGACTACAGTTCAAGTCCTGGACCAGGTGGTTTAAAACTCACGCCGGGCACATGTGCGTGCGTGCCCAAGATCCCTAGAGGAGAATGGAGGAGAAGGGATTGCGACGTGGCCATCTCCCCTGCAGGGGTGTGTGTGTGTGTGTGTGTGTGTGTGTGTGTGTGTGTTATTTCTCGCTTTCTGTCTCTCTGTCTCTCTCTGTCTGGTGAGCGCAAGCGCCCTGTAGCAAAAAAATAAAATAAAATAAAAAACACAAAAACTCTCAAAAAAAAAAAAAGAAAGAAAAAAAAATGCTGGCCTAAACAACATAATAAGATCCTGTCTGAAAGAGCCAGATGTAGTGATAAATTACTACTAGTAATAATCTAACATTCATTAAGTAGTAACCATGCACTAGCACTGCTTAGACTCCCTGCTTATACTGAAGGGTAAAGAAGGCTCAGCCATGAGGAAAAGCTGAGGCATGGAGAGGATTATGACACAGAAAGACCCTATCTTTAAAAAATAAACATGAGTTTCCCTTTCCTCAAGAAATGTATAACCTGGGGACCATCAGATGGCATAACGGTTATGTCACTGGACTCCCACGTAGTAGACTGTGATCGAATCCTGAACCTGGCAGCTTAAAATTCACACTAGGTGCATGTGCATGTGTGCCCAAAATCCTGAGAGAAGAATGGAGGAGAAGGGACTGTGGTGTGGCCATCCCCACTGGGGGGTGATTTCTCACCTTCTGTCTCTCTATCTCTCTGGTGAGTGTACATGCCCTATGGCAAAAATCTCTCTCTAAAAAAAGAAATTTATAATCTGATGAATAGGACAGATATTTAGACAGAAATTAAACAAAATATTTCTTACATTTATAGTAGGTGTTATGATATAAAAGTACAGAATGCTTATACAAGTAAATAAAGGGAGTATGGAAAACTGATAGTAAAGTGAGACTTGCAGTATGTATAGGAATTAGGTAAAAAAAAATTCCAGCAAAAGAAAATAGAATGCAGGATAGCCCTGTCTAAGGTAACAGCTTGGTGTATTCATAGAACAGAAAGCCAATATGCCTTCATTGTAGTGAGTTAAAGGGAATATGACCATGATGAATCTGGAGACTCATCACTAGCTAGACATCACATTACATAGGGTACTGAAGGTCATACTAAGGATGAAGATTTTAACCTAAAGACAATAAGATATCAAAGAGTTACAAACAGAAAACTGACATATACATATATGTATGATTTTAAAGAATCACTCTGCTATGTACAGAATAAATTTAAATGGAATAAGTGTGTGTGTGGGCAACAGATAAAAGGATAAAAATCAGGTATGAGATTAATAGTGACCTGAATTAGAGAGATGGCAGTACTGATAGAGACAAAACGACATATTTGAGATATTCTTCTTATAAGTAAGAATAAACAGAACTTGGTAATTGACCACCTATGAAGAGAAAGATGAGGAATAAGAAGGCTAGATTCCCTCTATCAGTAACGAGGGAAATGGTATGTAATTAAGAAGTGGAACACTGGAGGAGGACCTGATTTGAGAAAAAGAGCCAAGTTTCTATTTTGGATAGACTGTGTTTAAGATATCCCATAAAAAATATAATTGGATATCAGACAGATTGACTACAGGAGGAAGTCTGCTAGGGATATAAATCCAGGAGTATATAACTATATGTAAATTTACTTGAATCTCAAGTGAATAGATACAAACACTCTTAGGAATGTGCAATTAGAAAGAGTGAAACTCAGAACTGCCTAGAATGTCAAAATTTAAGAAGTGAAAAGAGGACTAAGAATGAGCACCCTGCATTATAGTGTGACTATCTCCCATGGGAGATGCTTTCTCACTCTCTCTCTCTCTAGTGAGTGTACATATCCTGTGGCAATAAGAAAGGAAGGAAGGAAGGAAATAAGAATGAAAGAATTAATGAAAGAAAGAAATCTAGCTATAACATAAAAATAGGATCATACCTATTCATGGATCATAGATCCATTATCTTGGGTTGGCTCCATGGCCTGGTGGTTAAGGTGGCTGAATCCCACATGGCCGACTATTCAGTTTGAGTCCCAGATACAGCAAATTGAGAAACATGCAGGGTGCATGTGTGCCCCAAATCCCCAAACAAGAGATGAAAGAGTAGGAATTAAAGTGTGACCATTCCCCATGGGAGGAGATGTACTGTCTCCTCTCCCTCTTTCTATTTATCTCTGGTAAGTGTCCATGCCCTCTAGGGGGAAAAAGTTTTATTATCTCAATCCTCAAAATTACTATTATCATTATTTTATAGATGCAGAAATCAAGGCTTAGAGATATGAAATAATTTGTCCAAGGTTAAGGGATAAACCCAGTTTTTTTAATCTATCCTTAAGTCCTACTTAGAAGAAAAAAAAGAAAACATACCTCTGTTTCTGTTCCACAGTCAAAATAAATTTAGTATCTTTCACAAGAACAGAAGCAGCTTGTTGTACACCTTTCCTTGTTGCACAAAACTGAAAAGAAATTAATAATTTTTGTATTGATCATGTTAAAAACTGAATCTTACACTTTAAAATAAGAAATCAACAATCCATACCACAAGTGTGGGTTTCTGATCAGAATATGTTTGTATAACACTGGCAATTTTGTAGTTGAGGGTTAAATCAAACTTAAATTCAGTTTGGTTACTAGCGCAGGGAAATCCAAGAACCACTTTCCGAAGTTTCACAGGTCTATGGCTCTCATCCATTTTCAGACATACAGCAGGTCTTTCACCATCTGAAAGCCATTCTGCAATCTTTAAAAAGAAAAAAGAATTATGAACATTAAAATTTTTGTTAGACCAATTGTGGTGGTATAGTGGTAACACAATGCTCCCTGATGCTAAGGCCACATGGGAAGGTCCTGGGTTCATGTCCCAAGGTCTCTTAGGGCATACCAGGCATGGACCATGTGCCCATGATCTGGGCTTGCTTAGGCTGGAAATAAGATTCTGTCATGCAGACCTTCTTGTGGGTGCCCGCCCTTCTCTCTCATGGAAGAAAGAAATAAAAATTAAAAAAAAATTTTTTCTAGTAAAGTTCTATGACTAAAAATAACCCAATTACAGACCACTTTAAAGTGAAAGTGAAGGTATAGAGACCAGCAGGTGACATGGTGATTAAGGCGATGGATTCTCACATGTTCAGCCATGGTTTGAGTCCCAGACCTACTGGCTTGCTTTCTCACTTTGCCTTTCTCTCTCCCTCTAGTCAAATTAAAAGAATAATAAGAATAAGAATAATAAAATTAAATAAATCTTTTTCTAAAAGTCAAGATATAAAAGCATTTAATAAAATAGTCCTTTTTTTCAATATTGCATATTCCATTGATACTATATTGGCAAGTACAACCTACAGTAGTATTTCAAAAGCATACACATGTTTCACACGGGAAGCTTCCAATTTATTATTATTTTCCTTCATAAGAGTCCAAAGTATTTGGTCATCAGAAAGCATGACATATTTTTCTATGTACAAATGCATCACGACTTTCCAATTGACCTAATAAAATAAAATTAATTTTGTTATAAAAATTGTTTATCACTATCATTGTAACCTCTTTGATATTTTTTGGAATCATGTCTCGAAATGGCTAACAATTCCTTTGTGTTGTCCTAAATACTAACAGAATAGCAGTGAAGTAATGGCTGGTTTAGGTTGGCAAATCAACCTTTTTAAATAAACATATGAGCGATGGCAGTGGCAAAAGCACATTTCAAATTCAATGCTAGAGTCATTGGTTGGTTTCTGGAGCAATCTTTATCTTCACGTAGCCTAGTTAGTAATCAGGCTCCATGCCCTAAACTACTATAAAGCCAATCATTGCTTTGATAAGAAAAAGAAAACAAATGAGCTTCTTGTTGTACATGAAGGAAATACTATTCTCAAGGTTATTATCAAGGATAGAGAGAAGACTTCACGACAATTTACAATTTGAGAAGAGCAGAACCAAAGATAAAGACTTTAATTTGAGAGAAAACTTAGAAAGAGGGCCTGGAGAAAGAACTAGTAGTCACAGTAGTAAGTAGTGACAAAGAGAAAGAGTTTTAAGAACAGAGGGTAACTTGTTATAAATGAATATGAAAAATGTAGTATCCCAATGTGAACGAGGGTAAGGAACATGACCTGCCAAGTTGCAAAAAGAAAGAACTTAAAATAGCTAATAAATATATTTAAAATATTTACTTCAAAGAAGTGAAAATTAAAAAATAAGATACTGGTCGAGCATCCCTAATTAAAAAATCAAAATCTAAAATGCTCCAAGATCCAAAAGTTTTGGAGTGCTGACATGCCAAGTGGAAAATTTCACACCTGACCTGATACAAAGGGTTACAATAAAAACTGCAACACAAAAATTTTTAAAATTACCTTCAAGCTATGTATAAAGTGCACATGAGTCTGGTATTTAGACTTGTGTCCAATAACCAAGATAACTCATAATTATATGAAAATTTTCCAAAATCCAAAATCCAAAAATTTCTGGTCCCAAACACTTCAAATGAGGGATATTCAGCCTGTACTATCTTAAACAACAACAACAAAAATGACAAATGTTTTAAAATAACAATAAATATTAATAATTAACAACAGTAGTAATCTCATTATCATACCATGTAGCATTAGAAGATAGAGAAATGGCAACTGGCAGAAGTGTAAATAAATAAAACATTTAATGAAGGCAGCATGTCTATATATCTGTTGACTGAATTATTTTATTCTAGAAGTTCATCCTAAAGAAATAATCATCGATATTTTAAAAAATTTCAGCACTGTTTGCAATAGCAAAAAGTGGAAGTAAATTTTTCTTCCAGTTTTATGATGTTGGATAAATAAAGTAAAACCACAAAAAATAATATTGAGGGGTATTTAATGACATAGAAATGTTTGTAGGTAAAATACAGGTTGGGTCAGCTAGTGGCCTGGTGGTTAAGATGGCTGAATCCCACATGGCTCACTTCAGTTTGAGTCCTAGTGTTTTGAGAAACACACCAGAAGTTTGCCCAAAATCCCAATAAAAGGTAGGGATGGAGAAGGGATTGTGTAATGACCATTCTTCACGGGCAGTGTTATCCCACTTTCCTTGTCTATCTCTCTCCGGCAAGTGCAGGTACCCTTTGTTGAATTAAAAAAAAATGCAGGTCAAAAAGGGTATGTACATTATGATTCCATGTACACATCTGGAAGGACTAACACTGGGTTTTAGTTTTATTGTTTTTACACATTTTAAAATGTTCTATATTATTCTCAAATACGAATGAGTTGTCATTTTAAGAACAAGAAAATTATTAACTTTTCCAAATTAAAAAAAAAAGATAAAATTTCCCATTGGAATAGAAAATATAGCAGGTATTTGTGAAAATTTCTTTGAAGTAGTAGGAAGGGGGGAAGTCATATTATATAATAAGTTAAGAAATAAATAGAGGTGAAAAAGTAGAATGAGACTACTATTTTTCAAGAAGTTTGCCTACAAAGTGAAGAAAAAATTAAGCCGCATATTCATTATGAAAAGTAGATTATATATAATTATTTCTCTACAAGTCCGTGTAACCCATTAGCCATGAGATCCTCCTAAGGGACAGTGTTCACATATTTTGACTTTTGCACCAATCATTAGATTTTGCAGGGAGAGGTGCTAAACCAACTGAGCAATATTTTTATTTTCTACTATGTTTTGCTATACAATTAGAGTCAACTGGTTAAAATGACCATAACGTATTATTAATCAAGTGATTATCAGGTATCTGAAATCCATGAAACTACGACTTTCAGATAACTAGCAAACAATAAACTTCCAACAAACAACATTTTTGTTGTTTTTTTAACATGTTTTATTAAACCAAATCAACCAAATTATATGCCCTTAGTTAGTACTAATATACCTATAAGATTTAGTCATTAACTTTCTGTAATATACTTTTCTATTAGATTAATTTAGTGACTAACAGGAAAAAAAATCTTTACTTTTCTCTAAGAGCAAAACGACTAAACATTTCACAAGTCATAAAAACCCCAAATAACTAAAATTTTAACTTACATCTTCAGCATTTGGAATTGTTGCAGATACAGCCACAAATCTCATTGGAATGACAGTGCTGGTATTTTCTAAAGTCTGAGATAAAGACTGTACAGTTTTCATTCTGCTGACTACAACTTCAAGTGTTGGACCACGATTTTCATCTTTTATAGCATGTACCTAAACCAGAAATCAAGAAAGACTCATTACTTATAAAACTAAAAACCTAGTAAATCAATTAAAATGTGTAATAGCATTAACAATCTTCCTTGAGAAAATGGGCATTTTCCACTTTAAGAGATAAAACAGTTTGATTAAAATGTTTTATTTCTTCCTATACATCCAAATCATCTTTTATGTTTATCTCTGAAAGTGAATAATAATGTATTCACTACCTCATCAATAAGAAACAGTCGAACCAGTTGGACCAAAGAGTTGTCTCTCCATTTCCTAGTCATACTATCCCATTTTTCCTAGAGGAAAAAAAAGTAAGTAGTTTAATGTGATAAGAAACTTTAATAAATATTATTGAACATATTAGTAACAATTTTAATATATTATAACTGATAGGCAATGTTTTGGTTGATTCCTTAAAAGCACCCTGAAAAAGATGTAAGACTAAAAATTATTTAAAGGGATAACTCCAGGTGATGTAGTAGTTAGGGTACTAGACTCCCATGTGGCTTACCACAGTTTGAGTTCTGGACTTGCAAGCCTGAAAATTACAACAGGCCCAAGTGTGTGCTTTTTAAGATCCCAGGAAGAGAATGGAAGAGAAGGGATTGTTGTGTGGCCATCCTTCCTGGGAGACGGGGGAGAGGTATTTCTGACTTTTTCTCTCTCTGTCTCTTGCTGGCAAGCACATGCCCTATGGCAGAAACCTAAAAAAAAAAAAAAAAGATAAAAAGGAAAAAAATAAAAGGATTTTGACAGGTGTTTAGAAAACTGGGCCCTCAATTGTTTTTAAGTGCAACCACAAAATATTCAGTTACAGTATTATTACCTATTTTTAAATTCTACCAAGGTCTTCCCCTACAATTATAATACAGGGGTAAAAGAATATAAGTAATAAGTATAACTACAAATTATCCACAACAACAAATTACCTATTCTTTACCCATTTGTCCTATTTGGTCGCTTATCTTTTACTTACTGGTTTGTATTGTTTCTGTACATTAAATACTTGTACTTTTAAAATATATATATTTTCAATTCCATAAGGAATAAAGGTGATTTCTTTTCTTTTTTTCTTATTGCCAGAAGGCATGTATGCTCACCAGAGAGAATAAGAGAGAGAAAAAGCTCACCCTAGTGAAGCATGTTAACATCACAATCTTTTCTCCATTATTCCTTCCTATCAGGATTTTGGGCATGCCTGCACACACACCTGATATGTTTGTCGAGCTGCCAGGGTTGTAATTTGAATTGTGGTCAGCCATGTGGGAATCAGCTCCCTTAACCACTGTGCTACGGGGTGGCCCAAAATACTTGTACTTTTTATGTTTACTTGTTTACATTGCAAACATATACTTTTAGTTTGCATTTTTTTTTAACTTTTTTTGTAAAGAGAAATAGATATTTTCTTTTTTAAATTGACATTTTTATTTTTTATTCCATGTTCTTTTATATTCAACCATGTTATTTAGCTTACAAAGTGAATATTCCAACATGTATACATTTCTCCCTAGTCCAGTTGATGATACTATAAAGCTATCTTCAACAGATAATACCCCATTTCTTTGTCCCATTAATGCTTTGCCTCTCTATTTTTCTTCTATATGTCCTTCCTCAGACTCTACTCTTTCACCCACACTATACTGATATTCACAACCATTTACTGTGTTTCTATATCCTTTAGCCAATCCATTTCAGACATAGAGTGCAGACACTTGGTATATATTAAGTGGGGATATACAATGTCTCTCCTTCATAGCCTGGCTTGAAACATTTATTTTCTAATAAATCAAGAAAATAATAATGTATAAAAGATACCTACTGGAGTTGTCATAATAATATGGGCATGCTGAATCTCAAATAGGTCATCCATGACTGTATCTCCAGTGAGTTCTTTACAATTTAACCCTATTGGTCCAAATTTTCCTTTCCAGTCATCAAAACGCTGACTACATAGGGCTTTTATTGGTGCCACTATAACAATACAAGATATTTATTTTAAACATCAGTACAATTGAAGAATGATTTTCACAAACTTTGGCTAGTAAAGTTAAGATATAAAACATTGCCTAATAGTTATAAATTAAAAGTTAACAATATAACCCATTATTTAAGGATAAAAAGGTAATCATCAAAAAGAACTATATAACATAGAAACAGAAGTAATTACTCAGGGAATTCTAACAGTGTAGAGAGATAGAGCAGAGGATTATTGCTTTTCATTATAGACCCTTTTGTAATACTTGACTTTTTTTTAACCATATGTATACATTACTTTGATGAAGATTAAAAATAACACAAAACCCTAAGAAGGTAGAACAGAGGTTTCTATGCAGATTTCTAGAGTTACATAATGTTTGATATTATTTATTCACTTTCCTTGTCTTTTTAAAAACAAGCAAGTAAAGGTCAGATTCTCAATTCAAATATTAACTCTGGTAAAATTTAATGTTGGTCTTATATCACATAAGACTAACTGTGACATATCTTTATGAAAAATATATGGGAAACCAAATAGTAATTTCTATGGTCTGAACTGAGTTACCTAATTTTTGCTTCAATGACTCTTCATTATTAAATTACTCATCACTCTTATGTAAATACGTACTGTAAACAATTTTTATGTTCAGCCATGGCAATGGTACTTCCATTAACAATCTTGTAATAGCTAGTTCAAACATTACAGTTTTTCCAGAACCAGTTGGAGCACAAATCACAAAATTCCTATTTGTGTAAAGAAGCTAAAACAAAAAAATTAATTAATCATATAATATATAGAATTTTTCACACACATTCTCAGTTTATTAGAAAATATCCTTTAGAAGGACTTTAAGGAATAATAGTGAAGACAGTTTTACCTCCAAAATTATTAAAACTACATTGTTTCAGACCTTCCACCCTCAAAAAATAGTGCTATTAATATTTTATCATGCTGTTTCATTTGTCAAAGTGATAGTCTAGGGAAAAAAAATAAATTCCTTTAGGTTCCAGAAAAAGTTTTATAAACACAAAGCACAAACCACTTTATCTATGAAAGTCACATATATTCATTTAACATTTTCTGAGCTCTTGTAATGTACTGGTCACTGAGTGTGGCACTGGGAATATAAAGATTTTTTTTCCCCTTAAGTACACAATCTAATGGAAAAGGTAAATGAGTAAATAAGTATAATAAAATACTTACATCATCAAAGGCTTTCGATTGAATATAGTTGAAATATGGAAATTCTTTGAAAATACTTCTAAATTTTGTCGCTTAGAATAACATTAAGGAGTCAAAGATTTTAGAATTTTATAAATTAGTTACTTTCAACTTAAAAATTTTGTTAAATGATGTCAACTCTGACAATATTTCATGATGAGACTAGCATTTGCTATTTCGGCAACTTGAACAAGGAATAAATAGAAATCATTCCAGTCACATTCTATATTCTGAAAAGAGCTTGTAATGTCCCTATGGGGAAACAAGAGGTTACATGAGATTATAACTTGAGAGTTAAACATGATGGAAGAGAAGTACATATAGTCAAGTTTTATCAGAACTATACTTCTAATAGTTTGTCTTTTCCAGACTAGCATTTTGCTTATTCTCCTTATCTAGGGCTCTTGATTTTTTACCACTTCTTTAATGTTTCAAACTTTTTTTATTAACTGTTGATTGTGCTTCATTAGCTGTTGTGTGTTCCTGGTCACCTCATCCTAAATCCCTTTGTTTTTGATAATTAGTTGTGTTAAATTATGGACTTAGTGTAATTACTAGCTTACTAGTTTAACAAGAATTTAAATTTTATTCTTCCTCTAGAAAAAAAGGAAGATAATTATACACACGTATTTAGTATTCTTCTTACTGTGAGTCATAATTTATCTATTGCATTTATTAAACACTATACGCATTAGATGAGTTCCTACAATTGAGACTTTTATCATCTATTAGAAGACATATGACAGATAATAATATATCTGAGAATGCAAATACACATTTATTTAGGCAATTATATTTTTACAAAGATATATAAGAACTGATGGATTGCTGAAGTTACACTGTTAAAACCCAAATCAGATAATTTTCCGTCAGAATCCCCCTCCTTTCTTTCAAAGTATTTGGCTATAAGGCCCTATACAATCTTGTCTCCCTACTGTCACTCTCCCATCCCCACCCATGCCTTTCTCTGACCTCTTGCTGTCTGTTATTTCTGGCTGGTCTATTACTCATCCTTCTGACTCATCTCTAGCTCTACTAGATTCTACTGTTTTCAGAAACAGCCATGTTCATGTCAAGAGGCCTCCCTCTGCCTAAACTGTTCTTCCCTTTGTAGTTCCTGGGCTCTTTCACCTCCTTTCAGTGCTTTAAATCTCTTCTTTTCAGGAAGGCCTACTCTAATTATTCTATTTAATTCTATATTCTAAGCCCTTAATCCCAGCTGTCCCAATTTAAATTTCTTTTACCATGTTCTTTTTTCTTTTCCCATAATTCTCATCACCTTCCAAAATATTACATGACTTATTTATATATTGATATGATTGTTCAGATCTATCCTCTTTCCTACTCTCATCAAGGGCAAAGATTCATTGTCTGTTCTCTTAATTGTTATATCTCAAATACCTAAAACAGTGCCTGACATATAATAAACACTTAGTTGATATAAGTCTGTATACACTAAATCAAGTAGTTAATTTATAAATCTTCATTTTACTTCAGTTGTGCAGCATGCCAGAATATTTGTACCAAAACAAAAACATAATTTTGAGTTTGTCAATCTATCAGCTTTTGAAGAAATCTCATTTTTCCTTCAAAATATGTCTCTTCCTATAAAATATTTATTTGTAACAAGCCCACAAGAGGGCCATCATGCTGGTTTTCTTCTCATTAGATAGCTCCACATCAATTTATATTCATAAAAATGAATCTTTGATTCAGAGTAGATATAGAATCAGTTTTCTAGCTCATGAGAAAACTCAACTACTAACATCATTTATCATCACTATCTACACTTGAAATCAAACTTTTCCATCCGTTCAACACACTCTCAGCAGTATCACTGCAATTATCTGTTATAATGGAGGAAAATGTCTGCAGAACTCAAAATGACAATACTGTAGCAAGATAAATCTGACAAAACTTCTACTGTCCTGAGAATTCAAATACAGTAAAATATTAGAAAAAATGTAAGAAATAAGTTATGTCCACGTAATACACAAACTCTCAAATCATTTTGAAAAGCAGTCAGTCTGTCACTTTAAATACACTCTTGGAAACGATAAAGTGACAGTGCATGAACTTTTTAGAAAATATATCAATGAGTAAAAGTGTAGGCAGTGGTCTAAACCAAGAAAGACACCTAAACAATAAAATCACTTTAGCCGTGCTAATATAGTATAAAAATATTTAGTACTATTCAGAAGGTAGTGTTGGGACCAGCAGTTAGCATAATGGCTATGTCGCTGGACTCCCACTTTGTTGACCATGGTTCGAGTCCTGGACCCGGTGGCTTAAAACTCACACCGGGCGCGTGTGCATTTGTGCCCAAGATCCCGAGAGGAGAACGGAAGAGAGGGGATTGTGGCATGGCCATCCTCCCTTGGGGGTGATTTCTCGTTTTCTGTCTCTCTGTCTCTCTCTGTCTTTCTGGTGAGCGTGCCCTGTGGCAAAAAACCTCTCCAAAAAAAAGAAAGAAAAGAAGGTAGTGTCAATAATATGAAAGGATTCCAGCAAGGGATAAGAAAACTCTCCCATCAGACACATAGTTAAACAATTTTAAACTGCTTACTTAAATTTTAATTATTTTTAAAGAATTGTTTTATTTAACTTATTTATTTATTTATTTATTTATTCCCTATGCATCACCCTATATGGATCACCAGAGAGAAGGAAGAACAACAGGTCTGAGACACCATGCTGAACAGAAGTGCTAAAGACTATGTCCGAGGTTATTAATACAGTATTATGTCATCATGAATAACCCTTTTATTGCCTCCTCCCACCACTGGAATTATCTCAGAGGCTCTCCAGTGTCCCTAGGATTAGAGTCACTGTCACCTAGATTTTTCTAGCTAGACTGCTTAATATCTAGAGCTCATTTTATGTTTTGCCAACCAAAACACAACTTTTATTGATCCCAGAGCACTCCCCAGCTTTTAGCACTAATTCCACACTCTTTTTTTTTTTTTTTAAGGTTTTGGCCACATGGCACGTGCACTCACCAGGTAGAGAGACAGTAAGAGGGAACGTGAGAAATCAACCCTCAGGATGGCCATGCGACAATCCCTTCTCCTTTCTCCTCCTGGGATTTTTTGAGAGCATGCACACATGCCCGGCATGATTTTCAAGCAGCCAGGTCAGAGACTTGAACTGGGGTCAGCCAGCAGGAAATCCAGCCCCCTAACTACTACACCTCCTGCTGGCCCTAATACCACATTCTTTTTTTTTTTTTAATTATTTTTAAAGAATTATTTTATTTAGCTATTTATTTATTTTTAACTTAACCAGAGAGGAACAGAGTGAGGGAGAGAGAGGGAAAGTGAGAAAGCAAGCTGCCAGGTCCAGGACTCAAACCGCTGTTGGTCATGTGGGAGTCCTGCCCCCTTAACCACCATGCCACTTGCCAGCCCTAATACACATTCTTAAATCATAGTTTTGATGAGGTAAATTAAACTCCTCAAAAATATCATATGACTTCTCCTCATTGCTTAATAAATTTATTAAAAGGAAAAGCAAAATGCTCAAGAGGTCTTAAGTACTTGCCACATACAAAAATCAGTAACTCTGTAAGTGACATATGTTAATTAGCTTGATTGTGGTAATGATTTTTGCAATGCACACTTATAATATTGTTGATTCCTTAAATAAGCAGAATTATTTGTCAGTTATACCTCAATAAAGAGGGGGGGAAAAAACCCTTGACTTCAGTATTCATGGCATCAAATGATCTGATCCTAAGATACCTATCCAATATTATTTCCTATTACTCCTTTAATCACATCTTTCTTTTTCTTTCTTTTTTTTTAAAATTTGATATAGGGTGCATGAGCTCGCCGGAAAGAGAGAGAGAGAGAGGGAGAGCAATAAAGAGAAAGTGGAAATTATCTCACAGATGAGAGGGCCAGGCCCCAGCCCTCATTTCAGGATTTGGGGCATGCACCTACTGCCACAATCCCTCATTTCAGGATTTGGGGCATGCACCTACACCTGGTCAGCATCATTTTCAAGCCACTGGGTCAGGGACTCTAACTGCAGTTGGCCTTGTGGGATCCAGTTACCTTAACCTCCACATCACCCAATGGCCCACTATCTTTCATTTCAGACAAACGAATGCTGTTCTTTCCAAACATATTCCACAGCTTTTTACCTTCACCTTTGCTCATGGCTATTCCTTTGTCAAAATAACTTCTCTATTGTGTAAGTCTTACTTTATCTGCCTTTCAATATATTCGGAGATAGGAAGATAAATAAAGCATGTTTCTTGCCTTTAAGAAGGTCACAGGTTGTGAGGAAATAGTCATATAATCAGCTAATTAATTATATAACAAAATTAAGTATACTGGTACACACACAGAGTATTAAAGAAGCAAAAAAGATGTTACCTCCAGAATACACATACAACTCACAATATTTACATTGGAAATGCCTGGACATGCAAATTGGATTATATGTATAAACTCCAAATTAGGTTCTTTCAAAAATATTAGATTTGTAATAATGTCCTCAAATCACAAAATATCTTGTTTCTATTTATTTCACTTCTCAGTTTATTCCAATGACTGTTCTTATCCAAAGTCTAAGAAATTATCTGTCTCTATTTGTAAGTAAATATGCTCAGGGTTCTGTCAATCATACAAATTAAATTTTTGTACTGACTGTGTCACAGACTGGTAACAAACAACTGGCACCATTCTGCAGACAACACTTTGAGTAGCACCAACTACCATTCACATGTATCTCTTAAAATCAAAAGAATCACTTTTCCAGGACTAGAAGATGGCATAATAGTTATGTCACTGGACTCCCACGTATTCAACTGCGGTTTGAATCTCGGACCCAGCGACTTAAAACTCACACTGGGTATGTGTGCATGCATGCCCAAGATCCTGAGAGGAGAATGGAGGAGAAGAGATTGTGGCATGGCCATTCCACCTGAGGGGGGTGTGTGTGTATCTCTCTCTTTCTGTCTCTCTGGAGAGTGCACACACCCTATAGCAAAAATCTTTCTCTCTCTCAAAAAAAAAAAAAAGGGGGGGGTCACTTTTCCTTCTTTGTCAACCAAAATAAACAAACAGAAACACAATGAAATAAAATGTTTAAAAATAATGGGGCCAGCTGGCGGTGTGGTGGGTGGGTAAGGTGGTTGGATCTCACATGGCCGACTAGGTAGTTCATGTCCCAGCCCCCGTGGCCTGAAAAACATGCTGGGTACATTTGTGTACATGTCCAAAATTCCCAAGAGGAGAATGTGATTGAGGAGTTGTTGCCTTCTCTCTTACTCTCATTTTCTCTCTCTCTCTCTCTCTCTCTCTATCTCTATCTCTATCTTTCACTACAGTGAACACATGCATTATACAGCACATTAAAAAATAAATTATAATTTCATAAACATAAAGCAACCGTATAACAGTTAAAATAAAGGATACGTATTTCTGTGACAGATTTCAAGGAACCCAAACTATTTTCTGTTACTCCTAAAAAAAAAAATTCTTTTTACTCATATAGATTTTTTGAAAAAATTATTTTATTGAACTTTATTTTATTTATTTATTTATTTATTTATTTTAATTTGACCAGAGAGGGATAGAGTGAGAGAAAGAGAGAGAAGGAAAGTGAA